GTGTGTGTGTGTGTGTATTTGAGTATATATATAGACAAACAAGAATATAAATAATTGGTATTGTAGCCAACCTTTACTTTTACAATATCGAGGGCTATATTCCCTGCACTTCAACAAAGAACTGTAGAATGAGACATGCGTCACAACTGCAATTTAAGTGGTACCGGCGCACAGACTTCACAATCGCATGTGATTGGAATTTTCTGATGTTAAAAAAAGGCTAAACTCACAATAAAGTAATGTTTGTAGAACGCTAATACATCTTTATTCTCGTTTGACATGGGTTATATTTGGTGTAAGTTGCAGAGCACTCTATATTTTTACTTACAAATATTTTTAGATGCCCCGCTCTCATACATGCAATTTTTTTGATATTGTGACCGATATTTAAATAGTTATAGCTATGAAGGCGGCAGTGAGGACACGGAGGGCCATATGCATATAAACATATGATAGATACACATTTAATTTATGGTCTTGTGTTTATATTGTATAAGTGTCAAAACATGTCAAATTGACCCAAATAGAGACCGGTCGGTTTTCGGCCTCTTCCTTTCCCTTTCTCTCCTTTAGAATTTCAAATTTGGATGCCCTCCAGGCACCACATATATTTATGTCATTTACATAGCCCTCTGAAAAAGAAACATAGCATAGCCTCCTAAAATGTTCTGTTTTTAGTAGGCTATGTGTATTTAGACTCATAGCCTGGACTTCGTGAGGTTTCTGTACAATATCTATCCATCTTTCTGCTCCAAAATTTAAAAACTAAATCCTGTTATGTATGAGTACATATGTATTGTTTATTTTAAAAAACGAAAAACATTTTATTTATTTAAAATACAGGTTGTCTGCACATAAATATTTATGGAAATGTATTTCTCTTCAAGACTTCAACTAACTATGTTTTAGGGTTTTTAGGGTTTTCCTTCTCCTTTAAATTTTCAGGCGACTATGTGGTTGAAGACATGGCACTGTTCGGAATCTATCGCAGTGTGCGGCAACTGAATCTGCCTCCGTGATTTGGGGTTGAGTCCATTTTGCGTCTCCGATAGTTTTAGCTGTGCAAAAGAATAAAACATTATTCCAATCTCCAAATCTACGAAATATAATAACGATTTACACTCGAAAATACAGAAGGAGTTAAATATTGCAGCGATAAGATTTTGCATACACTCAAGTAGATTGATCCTGCATACGTTCAAACCATTTGACAACGATACATACAATATATTTATTATGGAAAACACACATGAGTACTCTGCTATAGTCGCACGGTCGCCGCATCTCACGCGACGACAACTGAACTCCAACTCTGACTCAACAGCGGTGGCAATATCAAACGATACACATTCACACAGGTACATATATTTTCGTGAAGTGGGCAATGCATACGACTGTGCAAGTTTAATTCCTCGTGCGAGAGCAAGTAATAGAGCTAGATCTCCTATAAGATGGGAGGGGGTACACACACATCCACCGACAGTTAATGAAAATGATGCAGAGGCCCTGCTCTCCGATGTTGCAAGTCTAGATGAGCATTCTAGCCAAGGTATGGGGATGTGTGCTTACATAGTGCATAGTGCATACGCAGATAGTATACATATATATACAT